TCATGTTTAATCATTTGAGATGTTAAACAGAGAAGGAAAAATACATTTTCATGAAAAAAATGGATGATTTTTAACCTGAGCATTTCCTAGTCAAAGGAAGTGTCAACTTGAAATCTAGTATATTTTAAAAAGTGAGCTAAAAGGAAGCAAGAAAGGTCTCGTATTTGAGAACCATCCTGAGGCATAGGCAACTGGGTTCAATTCTCATTTCTGCCACAGATTTCTTGTGTAACCTTGGGCCAATTACTTAACCTCACAGTGCCTCAGGTCCCCATCTGTAAAATGCAGATATAATAATTCCCAGAGTCTTGACTTCTCTGTTTAGATTGCACTGTTTGGACTGGGACTGCTTCATATTATGAGATAGCACAGCACCAATGCAATGGGGCCCAAAGCTCAGCTGAGGCCTCTTGGTGCAGCTGTAATGCAATAATAAAAGTAGTGTCAGGTACTAACACTGCTAATATCTATGGCTTTGCTGCCACGTTTTCCTACTAAACAAGAATGTTTTTATCGTCCTTGGTACTCCCTGAAAGAGCCACACAAATAACAGGGGAAACTGACTATAGTGAAACTGACAATACTAGTAGCTCCATCAAATGCACTCAAATTGTGGGTGGGAGGAAATGGAAAACCCCACACTTCATTTTCCCCTCTAATCTCCTTCCTTTTCTGTGATCTTAAGTGTGACTTGCAATGATAGTAGGCAAAAAAAGAAGTCAGAAAGAAGTGTGATTTTTGCATGGAGGGTCTCCCTTTAACAAACATGACCAAATCCAAGCTCTCTTGCTTTTATTTTTAGCAACACCACCTGGCCTCAGACAGAAAGAGCACCACCCTGGATGTGTGTGTGTCTGTTTGTGTTTATGGGGGGATAGTGGGCAAGTGGGTGCTTATGTGTTTTCTTATTCAAACAGGACCGAGCCAAGCTTTTATTATTTTTAAATAGATGACTCTTAGAGTAGAAAGAGAGTGGGAGAAAGGCCTGGTTGGCTTTGTCTCTGTAATGTGCCATGTTTTATTAACTGATGACTGGCTCATACAGAAACAGCAAAGAGGAGGGGGCACCAGGGAATAGGCAGCTCAAGTGGATGGCTATATATGGGACAAAAGCAGCACCTGTAATCAGCAACATTAATCCATCTCTCTCTAAAACTAGGGACCAGGGCAGATGTTTGAGGTTAAACCAGCATGGTGGTGCACATGGAAAGAGGCCTGTGCTAAAGTGCTGGCTCAGAGAGCGTATCTAGTCAAATGGAGCATCTCCAGACATCGCATGCTGCTGCTCTTTAAATTTGTGATCTCGGGCTACGTCTGCCTGATGAGCTAGGAGTGTGATTCCCCTGCTTGCGTACACATGTGCTAGCTCTCAGCGAGTTCATGCAACTGCAATAGCCATGCAGCCAGGGTAGCAGCACATCCCTAGTGGTCAGGGCAGAGAACTGGGAGACAGGACACCCTTACTAGCGCTTACAGTAGGAGGAAAGGAGACAGGACTCCTGGGTTCTATTTTTGGGCCCTGGGAAGAAGTGTGACATGGTTACCAAGTATGGGACAGGGAGCTAAGATTCCTGGGTTCTGCTTCCAGTTCAGACAGTAGCTCATTGTGAGACCTTCAGAAAGTCACTTGACCTCTCTGTGCCTCAGTTCCCCCATGTGGATACGGGTAATATACATCATTAAACATGGATTGCCAAAACCAGTGTTGTCAACTTTTTTGAGTTGTCCAATATTTGTTTATTTTTATTCAAGCCCCAGCTCTTGGAGTCAAGTGACACAATGAGACTCTGCTTTCATTTTTTAAAAAAAACCTACATTTCTAGCCCTTAGAGTTCCAGAGAACAGCTTGAAAACATGATTGGGTTGTATCCTAAAGGCTCAAAAACCAGATGGCAAATAAAAAGACCCCCAAATATATTATTTGTTAACTCTCATGGTTTTTAAGCCCCATCTCAAGATTTCTGCATGCTTAGGCTTGGCAATACTACAATAGTCTGCAGCATGGTCTCGCAGCAGGGGTACTAGCTAGAGAAGTAGGATGGACCAGTAATCAGGCCATTTGATTGGGAGAGAGGAAACCCTGGTTCAGTTCTGTGCTTGGTCCTGTCTCCTACTATGCTCAGGAGCAAATCAATTAGCCTGAGCTTCACCTCCTGCCCTAGCTCACAGGGGCATGAGGCTATAAATACATTGAAGACAGAGAGGTGTGTGGATACCCCAGTAATAGGGGACAGATAAGTACCTTACATAGAAGGACACTTAGTTGCCCTGGATTCTAATCCTGTCCCTGCTGTGTGAGCTTGGACTTTCCCCCTTTCTCCTGTCTATTTTAATCGTAAGCTCCTTGAGGCAGGGACGATATGTCTGTACAGCACCTAGCACAACGAGGCCCCAAACCTGGCTGGGGCCTCTATGAGCTACCATAGCACAAATAATTAATAACGCTACTACCCTGAGTCCTCCAGTCTCCCCCAGATGCTCTTTTATCCAAACATGTCTATTTACACACTGCAAACATTTTTCAGTCTTTGAAAATGTTACTTCTCGAGATGCAATGTAGACGTTTCCGGGCCTGAAATGTAAATCCTCTCCGAACTCTAATCACCTGGGTTCTCCAGTTTCTAACTAGTGAGGTGGATTTTTCCCCCCTCTTTTTCTTTTCTGCATCAATGCATCCACAGAAGAGGGCTTGTAAATAACAGAGTCCCATGCTGTGAGCACCCCTTTCTGGTTCATTGGCTAACCTGCATGCCAGGCTCATGTCTACAAATACAAATGACTTCTGATAGGATGGGAGGTACAACACTGTTAAACCAAAATATTCCTTTGGCTTTGCGGAAAACTGTGCATCTGTGTGTGTGAGAACAGGCCGAAATCTTTAAGGGACAAACATTACTTGCATGTTTCAAAGAGGGCCCTACATACAATGCAGAGAAATAAGACTGTTACGGAAAGAAATGATAAGCAGATTCCAATCCTTTGGTTAAATACCAAGATTTAACTAATACCTGGTCACTTGTATGGAAGATATACAGTCAGACCTGAATTTTCAGAAGGTCTCAGCACCCACAGTTGGGGCCAGATTTTCAGAAAAGCTCAACTCCCATTTAGGCATTTAAATGAGAGCCTGAAGAGGGTTGGGCTTCAAACTTTCCTGTTTCTTCATTGAAGAGAAGGAGTCCAGGAGTCATATGATGGGAGCATGTGACTGAAACCCAGGCTGACAGGGGAATATAACAGCAGTCTGAGATCAGTTGGTAAGACATTCTCTTTAGCTTCAGGCAGAGAAGTGCAAATGGGCAGTCAGGAAGGTTGTGTGGGGAGCAAGGTTGCTGGACAAAAGCCTGAGCCGGGACAGGACTTAGAACACGGCGCCTGGGGTTGTGAGCCAGCTAGAAAGGCTGTGTGGAAGATTTTGTGTATTCTATCGAAATTTAGGTTAATAAACCAGGCCCCAAGAAGGCATCACTTGACATGTGAAAACCTATGTGAAGTTAATAGGGAACCCAAGAAGGAGAAACTGAGGCAAAGGATGGGTGTGATAACTAGGCTGGCTAAGTCCCAGCTACAGTATGTAACTGAAATACTGCACAGGGAATTCATGTATCAGACTCGAGGCCTGTCTAGCCCAGTATCCTGCTAGTAGCCAAGATCGGCTGCTTCAGAGAAAGGTGCAAACGAGTTTCTTCATGACCCCAGAACTGACGTTTGATCAGGGTTCATGTGAAAAACACTGTGATCATAGGTGGTTAGGATCCTGGTTCTAGGGCTTATTGCAACACAGGACCTTGGGCATCACACTGGGACCAGAGTTCAGCTCACCAGCGGGCAGAGTGAGAGCTACTGACCTAGTGCCTGCAACGTGCAAAAAGCAAGGTTTAAAACCTGTTCATGTAAAGAACAGCAACAGTGTAATCAGTTCACTGACTCACTAACAAACACACGTGAAAATAGCCATCGCACAGTTTTATGCAATGGGGCTGGCTGGCGAAGCGGTAGTTTGCATTTCAGCATGGGTGTGTCTACAAATGGAGGTGTTGCCAGTAATCTGTGTGCATGGAAACTCATCTTTTCATGCAAGGGGCATAAAAAAGTAGACTCTGTTTTTAACACAATCAGAAATATTCCAGGAACAGAGGAAGACAGATTATTTATTAGCTCAAACCACGGGATTCTTCTGAAGCCAAACTCGCCGTTCTTGGTGTATGCTCCAGGGTTCTGAAACACGTTGTGCTTGTTTTTGTGTAGGTGGAGGAGATTAGGCCTGTAAACGCTGGGTGAAGCTGAGATTTAGATTGAGTGTTTTCTAGGGGAAATAGAATGGCGTAATGTAGGATGGGGGATCCTGTATGTGGGATTGTGAGTTGTGGGGAGGGTGTCACACCTCTGTGGAGTGGATTTACAGCAGAATGTGAATCTTACACTGAACCACTGCAGTATAGAGAGTAGAATAAGGCAAAGTCAGACTAAGCCATGCTGTGGGAAAAGCAGCTGGTAAGTTTCCCCTCCAGCTATAGCGAACCCAACACAGGATCTGGGATCAGAACTGCAAACGCAGCTGTCCCCTGCTCCAGGCTTCCCATAGGTCTAGACAGTTATTCAACCAGCAGCAATATCCCCCGGGTGGCTGCATGCCTCCATACAGGGTTAACATGCAGCCACTGTGGGAGACTGTGTGGCAATATATCTCCTGAGGGTGCATCTCGGGACATCTGTGAGTCATGAAGGCGAAAGCCTGAACTGTCTAACTGCAAGGAGGGAAACCTCGGTGCCCTGGAAGGATTCTTAGGGGAATCAATTCCCGGAGCATCTCAGTCCCCATGCAGGAAAATGCACATAAGCAACCAGTTTGTTTAGATTCTCTCTGCTCTGAGCTGAATCCCCTTTTGGATTTAAAAGAGGGAGAGGAGCGAAGAGATGGTGAGATGGAGAAAGAGGAAGGGGGAGAGTGTGGGAGAGAGAGAAAAGAAAGGGGGTGGGAGAGAAAAAAGCAGACTGACCTTCTTTGGCCGCAAGTCGTGAGGAGGGTTCTGTGTGGGTTGGAGTGTTGTAGACCAGCAATGAGCTACCTGGAAGGCAAATAAAGGGGGTTACAGTGATGTGAATTCAGTGTATTTTAGGGAGCGCAGAGGAGAGCCAGGGGGTGGGAGGGATGGGAAGATGTCATCACCCGGAACTAGGGGCCAGATTTTCAAAGAGCTCAGTATGTTGGTTGCACGTGGGGCGCTGAGCTCCCTTGAACACCTGGCCATAAACATCCCAGTAAGGGCTGCTGCATGCTGAGCTAGGCTGAGGATCTGACCCGTGAGTGAGGTGTCTCAATGGGAGGTGAGTTCTCTGGGAAATCTGGCCTGGGCTGCGGGCACTGAGCCTTGAAAATCTGGCCCTGAATGCTTGTACAAAATCTATTCCTAAGAAAGAGCCTGAATCACCGTCCACAGTGAACAGTCTGGTCCCTTATCAGCTCTGGTTTGGGACTTGTATCTAGTGGGTGGAATGGTAGGCTGCTAGGCTGGGCTTCCTGCCAGTGCTACGGACTCAGGGTATGTCTCCACCTTGGACTTTGCTGTAGTTCTGTTGGCCTGACCCCTTCGTGTAGACAGAGGGGGTAGGTTCCATGGGTGTAAGAATCCCACCCCCCCGAGCGAAGGGAGCTACGCAGACAGAAGCATTCTTCCCTCCACGTAGCTCTGGCTCTCCTGGAGGTGGTTTTTTTTACAGTCCTGACCAATGTGGCTATGTCAACCTAACCTGAAGTGTAGACCAGGCCTTAATGTGTGACCTGGGGTAAGTCGCCCCACTCTGTAAACTAGAGATAGTGTCTAGGGATGGCTCAGTAGCAGCATCTCTCTGGTGTTGCTGTTACCGGACCTGGCTGGAGCTGGTAGGCAAGAGTAACGGGTGGAAAAGTGAATGGGCAGTTTGGTAACCTCACTAATGGGTCAGGATTTCAGTCCCCTCCGTCTCAGCTGAGGGTTCAGCCACTTCTTTATTTTCTCCAGACTGTTCCACCCATCCCTGCTTTGCACTTCCTACAGCACCTGCTGTGCTGGGATGGCTAAGTATTTTGCATGCATCAGTCAGTTAACCCTCTCAGTGCTGCTGTGCACGGCAATGGTATTCTAGGCGTTCTGTGGATGGCAAAACGAAGGCATGGAGAGTCTAAGTGATCTGCTCAAGGTCACAAAGCAAGTCAGTGTCAAGTGGTGTCCTGAATGCCTGTTCCATGCCCTGCTCTTGACTCCCACTTCCTTCCAGGAGAAACACAGCCCTGAAACTGATGCCCCTGCAAATGTCACATTGGCTTACAGTGTGAGACGTGGTGTTGCTTAGTAGCTAGAACACTGAACTGGGACTCAAAATACTGGGGTTCTAGCCCCAGCTCTGCCAGGGGCATGCAGGATGAGCTTGGCTAAATCACTTTGCTTCATTGCTCTATGCCTCCGTTTCCCCATCCACCGATTAAAAACTGCCATCTAAGAGTTAGATATTATTATAGATGTGGTTGTACAGCACCTAGGCCAACAGCGCTTCTAGAAGATACTGTAACACGAATAGTCATAAAGGAGAAGAAGGGAGCTCTTATTTTATCCGGTTTCAGAGTAACAGCCATGTTAGTCTGTATTCGCAAAAAGAAAAGGAGGACTTGTGGCACCTTAGAGACTAACCAATTTATTTGAGCATGAGCTTTTGTGAGCTACAGCTCACTTCATCGGATGCATACCGTGGAAGCATCCGATGAAGTGAGCTGTAGCTCACGAAAGCTCATGCTCAAATAAATTGGTTAGTCTCTAAGGTGCCACAAGTACTCCTTTTCTTTTTGCTTATTTTATCCAAACCAGATTGTCCCCGTCTCTGGCTGTGAAACATTTCCTGTTTCACACATAGAGATTGGAGATGGGCATGAACTGTGAAGGTGGGATCTGAACGTTTCCAGGATTCACATCCCGGTTTTTGGATCGGCAGTTACAACCATCAGGTCTGAGTCCCAGTGTTCCAAGGCGGCTGGGTTTTTGGTGCAGATCCCAGGTCTTTTGCTCAGTCCCTTCTCTAAGCAAATGTATTTGAGACAGAAGTGCATTAAGTACCACGGTAAAGAACAAGTCACAGAGGGAAGGATTTATGCTTCAAGTTGGGTAGATGTGTGGGATCCCCAGAGGGAATGTCCCTCTTTCCCATCCAGTACTTAATTTGTAATGAAAAAGGTGCCGAGGATCAAGGAATTTTTTTACTTTCATAAGTGATGTGGCAAGCCCGGAGGTGACAGGGCTGTGAACTGCCAAGCCCAAAGGTGCCAGGGCTCAGCTCTGGCTAGACCTGGCACAAATTAAGCACTGATCCCATCCCCCATGAACTCCTATGGACGCAGTGGGAGTGCTTGAAGGCGGGCGTGTAATGTGCATTTCACAGTCATCTCATTATATTTACCCTGCATGTGCTTCTGGGGTCACTTTTCAATCCAACTCTCTGAAGGAGCCTCTACTCAGGAGGGTATGCATGTCTGTGTGTGGGCGACATTCTTAATGGGAGTGGGACCTCTCTCACTGAGGGCTGATGATGTGACCTAGTGCAGGGAGCAATCCTGCCCTGCTGTGGATGGACCAGCTCTCCACTGCTCATGAATGATTTGAACCCCCTTACTCTGGAGACCTGGTCCTATGTATTTAGAACGTGACTGTACCTGGAGTGTGGCAAACGCTCTGGCAGGGGTCTGGGATTGGTGTGCACCTCTCTCGCACTGACTGAGCAGGGTCTAAATACTAAGCTCTGCACAAGCAGCGTCTACCTCCCTCCTAGCCACACTGGCCAGACCCTTGCCAGCGTTACTCCACTGGCATTTGTCGTGAGTCTTGCCGTCCTGCTAGGTAGGATGTAGGCTCCAAACATCAGCAGCGCTAGTAATGCTGGCCCAGATGAGCACTGCATTCCCAGCACCTCAAACACAGACCAAACTGTAGCCTTGTGCAAGCCAGCATCTGAAAACAGTTTGGAGGTGTTGAAAGGCAGCCTTGGGGTAGCTGTAAAACGTAGTCCCCTCCATCCTGAGCTGATGCTTGGTGCTGCCGGATGAAGCATAGTACAGTGGAACTTTTAAGAGCGGTGGATGGACAATTTGGCAAGTTGGGACGAGTGGGGGAAAGGGGAAGGAAGCAGCTTGGAACAAGATGCCTCCGATGTGGTGCCCAGATGCCATAAAGAAGGGTGTAGTATATATACCAAGAGAAATTAGACCGATGGCCTCTTGCTGCTGTCGAAGGCATGCAATTGCTTTGGCCACTTTGTTCATATTCATATGAGTGGGTTTGTGGTTCAAGTATTTGTTTCATAACGCTCAGGAGGGACTGGCCTGACATCTCCACCCCTTTCATTTGCAGGCTTATTTGAACTGGATCCTGACTGCAAAGCACCACACAGCTTGCCTCAGCCAGACAGGGAAGTGTTGGCTGATTCAGAAACACAGCTTCCTATGACTAAACAGGCTGCAAATGCCTGGTCAAGCAGACTGGCGGAGCAAAGGAGGTGGGCGGGGAGGGAAGAGACTGAGTGAGCTTGTAAGAGCAACCTACAGTTACTTGATGCTCAAAAATGCAGGCTGAACTGCTGGAAGGGAAGGAGCCTCCCTCAGTTTAATTGCTGAAAGTTCTCACCTTTGCCCAATGGTCTGAGGTTTCTGGTGGGAACGCCACAGAAAAGGAAATGTGGTTCCTATTAGGGGTTTAAATAAAGGAGGAAGAAAGAGAGAGAGAGCCAGCGACACAGAGATCTGGACAGAGACAGGCAGATGGAGAGAGAAAGGGCCAGCCCCCGCAGCCCTGGGTTCATTCATCCTGGAGCAAAACTCACACTGTGACCGAGAGCTCCGTTTTCGCCCTTGTCAACACCTACCCAAGTCAACGGGAGTTTGGGCAGAATTGCTACTGTGTAAAGACATCAGGGTTTGCCCCCAAGACAGAGCCTTAGCAATGAAGGCATAGGATATTACAGTGGTTGTCCTCAAATGCTCCATCATGCAGGAGGAACTGCATAGTATTTGGTGTGTGTGGGAGGGGTGGGTTTACAGCTGTATTCTTTTAATAAGGGGAGATGGAGAGAATGTGACACAGAGAGATTTTTATCCACAAATCCATTCCTTGAGCCTGGCTCAAACACAATTGAACCTGAAATGCCTTTGCATCCCTCCATTCAAGAGGGGTTGTACCCATTTCCCCAACGATGGAACCCCCTGATTTTACAAAGGTTCTGGGTGTCTCCAGATCACTTGGGAGGATCAAGGTTCTACTGTCTTTGGAGCCAGAGTTTTGTTTGGCTTCAATATGGGGTCAAAACCACAAACTTCTCCTCTGCTACTACCCCTAAATACAGTCTGATTGTTGTTGTTTTTTCCAGCCTCTTTTCTTTTGCACACACCACACAACCTGCCCCCAGTGACTGCAGAAGGAAAGGATGGGAGGCGACCGTTCATTTGAAGTTCATCCCAAACATAGCACAAAGACATCCAAATCTTGCTTCCCACAGCTGGCTGGCTGAGTACCGAGGCTTCACCAGGCAGACAGTGTTTGAGAAAGATACCAGCACAGTGGTCAGTCCAGGCTGGAGACTGAAGGGGGGAGAATGGGGAGTGGAAAAGGGTTGGGGATGGTGATAGGTTTGGCCTAATCTTTATCTTTCCAGTCAAAAGGCTGCAAGGCAAGCTTAAGGAAAGAGTATTTCTACGGGGGAACGAATGGCGTATGTACTGGGAAAAGCAGTGAAGGTTTGGGTAGGCTCAGACAAACAGGGATAGATGAGCCAGTTCCACTATAATAACTGGAGATGGGCCTACGCTGCAAAGCTGGGATCTGGCTCTGTTAGTTCCTAGAGATCTGGGGGTGTTCAGATCCAAGGGTTTGATTCCATCCATTTTAGGATCCAAACTCTCCCTTACTTTGCAGGTGTTGGGATCTGGGTTAGTTCAGAACAGCTTGTCTTAAGAGTTGATTGGAACCTTCATGCTTGGCCCAAATGGAGCCTTCATTGAAGTCTGATGAATGCTACCGATTGATTTTTCCTTCCATTTTTTGCTCCCCTT